CCCCAAAACCCCAAAACCCCAAAACCCCAAAACCCCACTTGACCTATTAAATATTGAACAATATTATTTTTAAAAGGAATTAACTGATAATAGATTAGACTTCTTTACTCAGCAAAGAGAAATGCAAAAGTTCAGACTCTTAGAGCTGGACATTGTATCACAATTTTCATCATTATCTTTTGGTTCTAAGTGTTGCAGTTTCAACGGTCAATAAAATAATCGGAAGGTCCAAAAAGGAAGCTAGAAAGAAAACAGAAGTCTCTGAGCCAGAAGTACAGCCAAAAATTGCCTTCAAAAATGCTTTTGTTCATTCTATTTATTAGAGAATGCAAGCAATTTTTTAAAGAAGTAAAGGCGGAGACAAGAACTTTGAAATTGAAAATGGGATAAGAGTACTTAGTATGACATGGGTAAAACTTGGGCATACTTACTATTATGCAATGCAGACTGCTCTTCACAACCCTATGCCTCCTATCCAGTTTATGAAAAGCTTTACATTTAATCAAATTTCTTCCTGGTCATATTTAGCTGATATTTTCTTTTGGTTATCCAGATTTTTGGGTGCTAAAATTCTTCTTGGCTCAACTCATAAAAGTAATGAAAGGATATAAAATTGGCCGATGATATATCTCAATAGATTCTGAGATTAGTCCCTGTTTATGTGATAACTCTTCTATTTTCCTGATTTGCCACGAATACTGTCGGATCAGGTCCTATATTTTTCAATATTATAATACAGGAGCAGTACACTGAAGAAGGGCTTGGTGGATTTATCTGTTATTCTTCAATAATTTTTTTAAGTATTATTCAAATTGCTGCATGGGTTGGTAGCGGTGTTACCTAATGATAAGCAGTTCTTTCTCCTCATTCCTTCTCTCTTTTGGATCCTCTACAAAAGCAGAATGATTGGATTTGTGATTATCTCTTTACTTCAGACAGAGTCATTTGTTGCTACTCTTAAAATTGTATGGAAAGGAGATATGGGGCTAAGCTATTTTAAAGCCACAGCTGACTACAATAGATCTTAATACAAAATACCTTGGTCAAGAATCTCTCCCTTCTTCATTAAAGTTATGGCTGCAGTGCTTTTGTACTTCTTCAAGAATGACCACCCTAAAAACAATTTATGAAAGAGAGTTATGGATAAAGCAGACCAGAGTAGAATACCTCGATTCATAATGTATATTTTTGGAAGTTTGTTATTCTGAAATATGATCTTCATCTTCTATTGGATCAGCAATTATCCCGAAAGCTTCAGCAAGGGGTTCAACATCACATTCCTCACATTTTCAAGGGTCTCTTTATTATATGAATGAACCTTGTTCTACTTCCTGTCCTCATAATACACTTTTCTCTTCAGACAGGAATCTTAACTTTTGACATTTTCACTCCTTTAGCAAGACTTACCTTCGGAGCTTACATGGCTCATCCTACTATCATGCTCTTTAGTGCTTTAAATATAGTGAGAGGAGAGTACATCACAATAAATTTTGGAATCATCAGATTTTTGTGATGGATGATATCTTCATTTGCTGTGAGCCTGGTTGTTACTCAATTGAGACTCCCTTCATGAAACTTGAGAAAGAATACTTAGTGAGATGTGGAGGTATAAAGAAGAAGCCGAGGAGGCATTTCAAAGAAGACAAGAAAGCTGAAAGAGAGCTACTTGATGAGCTAGATCAATGCTTTAGAAAAATCCAAAGAGAAGTTACTTAATCAGACTCATGATAGGGTAATTGAAATTGAGATGGACCATGATTTAGATGATATCCCAGATAGAATAAGAAAATCCAAGAAAGTTTTAGAAAGACAGGGAAATTCTTAAATTTTATCAATCAAAAGATATGAAGATGAATCAGAAGGAAGAGTTACTAATGTTGATGATTCTGAAGATTCTAATCCTAATCAAAATAGCATCAGAAAGTTTACTTAAAATGGACATTAAAATTTCAAATAACATATTTCTCCAAGGGGTTTTGGGGTTTTGGGGTTTTGGGG